ATTGCTGCTGCAACCAAGGCAATCACAGCTGACCCAAGTTTCCAATCTGCATTAGCAGCTGCACTTTCTTCAATCATTAGCAGCAACAGTAATGTTGGGACAGCTGGCACTACTGGAATGCTAGGCAACAACAACAATCAGGCTGGTGGTGGTGACAATATCAATATGGCTCAGAAATTCAAATGGGGTGACCAATTTGCTGGAAGTACAACTACTTCTTCTTCTCCATACCTTCAAACGCAGATAGGGAACAATAGTACCATTGGATGTGCATCAAGCTATTTGAACAAAACGACTTCTGCGAATTCGCAGCCCGGGAGCTTGATGTTTCTGCCACCTTCATTGCCATTTGCAAGTGCCCCCAAGAGCGCATCTACGTCTCCTGGTGACACTAGAGATCACAAAAGTTTATAGTTTTTTTTGGAATATATGTTTGTTAATTTGTAATCAAGCAAGAATAGAGGCAATTAATTCAACCAAGACAATTAAACTGAGTTTGATTTTGTGTATTATTAGATTTCTTTTTTTTTGTTCTTCTAAGTATACAGTTGTGATGGTATATGTTGTAAATTGTAATTGACCATGGATTAGTTGACATAAGCTTTGATGTTTAAGTATGCTTTAACTCTTAATCACTTTGTTAACATCCTTAATAAAAACACTGCATTGATCCTGCAGTGGTCATTTTCAGTGACACTGCATTGCCGACCATTTTATATTCTTTAGCTATTAGAGACAAAATTTATGGACCCACCCCCCTCCATATTGTAGTCAAAGTACGTCAAATACTACTCTCTAAATTATTGTTTTGTAGGCTCCGTCTAAAATTTACCATCCTCATCCAATTATTAGGTCACAATTTAATCGATCAATATGTTCTGCAGGGCCCAGGATCAATGTATCTACTTGTAAAAGCCAAACCAAGCCCCCCTTAATTAAGTTCCTTTCCTGATGCTCTGCATAGTTTTTTCCAGCTAGCTCCTGAAATATATTCTGTAAATAAAGAGACAAAAAGGGAGCATCATGAAATGACAACAAGGGCTATATGATTGGTATGTCATGAATGCAATGTGATTATAATTTGTAAAGAGTAAACTATGTACGGTTAGTTAGTGGCTATGAAAATGAGTGATTATCAATTGTTATAATATGTAGGTTTTTCGTAATCACACATACATAATAAACAATAAACAATCATTCATGCACGCATATACTGTAGTACACGAAATATAACTTCATTTATAAGCTCTTATTATTCTCTTTATTCTCAATATTATAAAAAAATTTAAGAGTATATTAACGTCACCGATTTCAAGGTTTTATATTAGGTCAAATACCATGGTAGCTCTTGAATCTCTCAAGAGAATGGAAAACCATAAAAAGGAAAAAGGAAAAAGGAAAAAGAGAAAAGAAAAAGGTGGAGAGAAAATTCCCTCCATTCACTTTTTATAGGAGAATATATTAGAAAGAGAAGGCAAGTAGGCAAGTAGGGAGGAACCGTGCTGAGTAGACCGACCCCAACCACATCCCAAATTTCCTACATTCACATTCACTTGATAATTCTGATATGAGCTAATTTACAAAACAACCTCCACCCTTCTCTCTCTCTCTCTCTCTCTCTCTCTCTCTCTCTCAGTAGTTCTGTGTTCCTCTCCTGCCAGACCTAATGGCTTCGATCTGATTAAACCCCCTCCAAAGCCCCTTCCTTGATCACCCTCTTCACCAACCCAATTCTGAACCTGTTCAGATCGAGACTTCTTGGAGATTCGGAGCTCCAGGTGAGAGAATTTTCCCCAAATTATCTTCAATTTCTCGTATTCTTATTCATTTCCAAATTTAATTTTAGAATTGGTTGTTATTTTAGGCGGGTAACGAAGCTATAATCAGAAAGATCCGAATTTTATGTCTGGATGGGGTCAAGTGCCTAGCTTTATTAGGGTTGTAGTCAATTGGGTATTTGTAGTCCAAATATGAATTAGGGTTTTGTTTCTTATGGTCAAATTAGTGGAGAGAATATGCTTCTTTTCGTTATCATGTATACCGTAGCTCTAAACACCTAAAAAGTTGCTTAATTGAAGTGAAATTTCCAGTTTTTGCGCTTACTTTCAGGTCCTGAGCTCTGTTTTTGTGTATATTTAGCTCAGCTAAAGCTATCCTAGCTGGTAATTTGAAGTGTTTGTATTGATGATTCTATTTCTTCATGATTATGTATCTTACCCGTTGCCCAAATTGCTTGCCCCAATTTTTATACATTCAATTTGGTGTAGAAATTTTTTTCTTTTACTTTTTTCGTAGGCATTGGAAACAATATGCAAAGGGATTCACCTCCAATGCACGGTTAATCTTAAAAGACATATTGAATTGGGTTGATGTTTATTGGTTGTTGATTGCTGTGATGTATAGGTGGTAGCAAACTAGCAATGTCGACTCCTGCGAGGAAGAGGCTGATGAGAGACTTCAAGAGGTTGCAACAAGACCCACCTGCAGGGATTAGTGGGGCGCCCCAAGATAACAATATAATGCTGTGGAATGCTGTTATATTTGGGTATGTTGGAAAAATGAAATGCATAAAAAGAAATTACTGTAGTGTTCTCTTTGTTATGCAACATTAATATTCATTTTTCCATATGTTTTAAGTACGGTTGGATAAGCCATTTCTCGTTTCTTGTCTGGTTTGGATTGCAGTCCTGATGATACTCCTTGGGATGGAGGTCAGTTAATCCTTTTTCTGAAGCTTTTGATTATGTTAATGTGTTTCAGACGTGGGATATTCTGATCTAAGTTTTACATTCTAGAATGAAGATGAACAGCATGTACAGTGGTTACGTTATGCTTTAGTTAAAATAGCGATTCTAAAGTGTTTCCTTTTCTTTTGTAAAGGATTTTATATCTTCTTCTTGACGAAATAATTAGATTGCAGTCCGATGGATTCCTTATTTCACTAAGTTCCTAAAATTTTCTTACTTTCTAATACTAAATTCTGAAAACCAAAACCTGAATATTAAGTAAATAACTAAAAGCTTTCCTCCTTTGTTTCTGTCATGTCTTTTGCCCGTTGATGTGACCACAGTATGCATGTTTCTGTTCAATAACCTCAACTTTGTTAATATCTACATTTAAGAACTCTCTGTTGGAGTAATACAGGCACGTTTAAGTTGACCCTTCAGTTTACAGAGGATTACCCAAACAAACCACCGACAGTCCGATTTGTTTCTCGAATGTTTCATCCAAATAGTAAGTTGGATTATACATGTCTTGACATCACAATTTTCTGCATGTTATGCATTTCTCCTCTGGTTTCTGAATTCAATTTTTCTTTCAAATTTGGTCAGTTTATGCAGATGGAAGTATTTGTTTGGATATTTTACAGAATCAGTGGAGTCCTATATATGATGTGGCAGCTATACTCACGTCTATTCAGGTATGGTTGAATTGTGTGGATAGAATTTTTGTTCCTTGCTTATATTTATGAATTTTCATGGTATGTAGCAAAGGTGTGTCGCCTATAGCATACATTTGACTTAGAACTTAAAGAAACATCGTATTGGGGAGGTTAAGGTTTTGCTTCTACACCTTAGGGTCTTAAGGAAGGCTAGTACGTTTATCTTTATTCCAGTACAGTGTGGAGTTTTATATATATACTACAAATGTAGCTGCACATGCCAATGGAGGCATGTATGTATTTCGATGTAGACCAATTATGAATGGAAATAGTGATGTATGTGTTGGGAAACTTTTAGTGTGCTAAACACCAACAATCTGAGAAGACTCTAACATCTACCATTTTCTTATTGCAGTCACTACTATGTGATCCCAACCCAAACTCTCCTGCAAATTCAGAAGCTGCTCGCATGTTTAGCGAGAACAAGCGTGAGTACAACCGAAGAGTGAGGGAAATCGTGGAACAGAGTTGGACAGCAGACTAACTCCTTCGCATGGGAGCTTGTAGGACAGTCAGAATTTGTTCAAAGGCATTTTATAAGTAGCATTTCTAGCTACTGCGAGAATCGTTGTGCCAACTTATCAACATTTATCCTGTATTTCAATGTTTTATTCCCAAATTATGATGCGTAGGATTTGCTTTGTCTTAAGATATGTCTTGCCAGCTGCCACATTGCATTCTTGGTTAATCTCTTGTAAAATAGTGTTGTGTATCAATTTGCATTGGATTGTTATGAACTTGGTTGTTCGGTATTTGAAATGAAAGTTAGTAGTTTACTACAAAAGCAGAAATTTTCGGTCCTTATTTTTTTGACTCAATCGAGTAGATTGCCACTTAGCAGCTCGATCAAGGAATTGAGCTCATAATTGGCAGACTCCTTACAATTTGCGTCTACTTCTTTTGCCAGTGTGCTTGAAGAACTATGGGGGTTGGTGGGTTTAAATTTTAGTACATATTGGTGGCACTAATTTGAGTGTAAAATAAAACCAGTTGTAATGTCATCCAAGGTATTGTAACACTATAAGGTTACTTAGGGAACATGAAAATCAGAAATTATCGCACAAATTAACAAACAACTGAATTTGACAATAAAACCTTCTGACAATGGCCAGTCTTTTAATCGAAGGGCCTGATTTACATGCTGGTCTTGGCTCACATTAGAAACTCCTACTTCTCCTAGTCGTATAAGGTTGCCTATCATTTTCTGATTATGAAAAAGAGAATTAATTAAAGCACGAAACTATGACCCTTAATTTTCCTAGTTGTATAATAAATCTTTCCAATTCTCGGACTTCCTAATATTTTTTTTTTATATTTCCTACTTGAGGCTTAAGTTTTTCTTATCATACGGGAAACTTCCTAGACAAGTAGTTTCACATAACCGTCTACGAGGGTCACTCACTCACTCCTACTCCTTGCAGAATTAGGAAATCCCCTGTATCTGTATATATGTGAGGAGAAAGAGAGTATACTTCACCCTGCCCATTTCCATTACCTAGCTATACGTAGCTTTTCTCTTCTCCACAAAACCCTAAACCTTAATCATTCACTGACCAACATGTTTGTCGATCTTGGCTACGAAGCTCGTCCTCTCGACTTCCCATGGCTCATGCTGCCCGACAACCACTACCACCACCACCACCACCACGCAGGCGACGACTATGAAGCTTACCACAACCAAGACCTGAAGTGTTTTTTCAGTCTTTACACTCACCAAATCCACTGTCTTGAACTGCCTGAGGCTTATGAAAAGACTGTATGTGGATCATCATCAGGCTGGCTAATCTTGCGACATGAAACCACATCAGCCGTTACCCTGCTCAACCCTCTCAACTGCGCTCAAATTGCTCTCCCCCAACTCTCTTCTTCTCCATTCTATGATCAAGACCCTTTACCTGTTCTTCACAAAGCTATACTGTCTTCAGACCCTTGTCGCTACCCGTTTGACTACAAAGTTTTGGCGATTTTTGGGCAGAAGCGAAGGCTCATATGCTACAAAGCAAGGGACAGGACCTGGACCATGATACAAGATGCAGGGGTTCATTATGAAGACATTATTTCCATGGGCAACGAGTTGGTTGCCACTGATGAGATTGGGAGGCTCGTGTCTTGTAATCTTGATGGCGATTGGTTTTGGTTTCCACCAAATGTTGAAGAAATTTCTGACCCTTTTTTCTTTAAAGGAGGCAAAGTTTATCTTGTGGGCATAGAAGGAGAGCTTGTTATGCTGATAAGGTTTGTGCAGGAAAACTTTAGTTTTGGCCAAGAGACATATGACTTTGAAGTTTACAGGTACGATTCTATGGAAAGCATTTGGGAACCGATCAGCAACTTAGGTTCATGGACAATTCTCTTGGGACATAACCAGTCTACCGCCATTGAAGCTCGGCAATTTAAGGGGCTGATAAAACCCAACTGCATCTACTTCACTGATGATAGTTTGGATGAGGATAGTTTGCTGGTTGGCCATGACTCTGGAGTTTTTAGCATGGAAGATGGTAAAGTTGAGCCACTGAGATGTATTTCACATGATTTCATGTATGTTTGGCCACGCCCAGTTTGGTATATGCCTAGTTTTGCTTGAATCATGGATTAAATGTAGAACTTTGGAAATCAATGAGAGCATGGATTTGAAAAGAGTGCTTTTATTTTGTGATAAATTTTGTTTTGGCTTTTCTTTTTTCTGTTCTGTTTATAACTTAATTCGGCTGAGCTCGCTTTCAATTTCTGTTCCCCCTAAAGACCTAATTTGAATTGAACCATATTTGATTTCCTGGTAACTGGCAAGGTTACCATGGTGCCACAATGTTCTGTTTTTAGATTCAATTTTTATCTTAAGCTACTCCAAATGCACACCTTGGAAACCAATCTAAAATATAATCCAAATGATTGTGTCAAAAACAGGTTATGCTTCAGATAAAATGAAATCACGGATTATATTTCAGATATTTAAAAAAAGGAAAAGAAAACAGATTAGGGCAGAAAAAGAGTACATAGTTATATGATTACAACAAATAATTTACTTCAATGGTTCAGCACAATTGGCACCAACAGGAAATTGTATAACAATAAGATAACAAGCTCGGTTTGATCAAACAAAAGACAAATGAAATGGTTTTAACTTAGACTGAAATTTGACCCAAAAAAATAAAACTTAGACTGAAAAACTTAGACCTGAAACCTTCTTTACATAGGAACTTATCCCCACAAAAAAAACATTGAAGACAAACCCAACAAGAATATGAAAATGAAATTGTTCTGGCATTCTGTATTTTTACACGACTTCAGCAGTCAAACTGACATCTTCCATTGGTGGAGCATCCTGCAATAGACAAATAAAGATCTTTGCTCATAAAACAAGACACATCAAACATCTTTGTTCTCAAGACCACAAGAAGCAGCTTGACATTAGAGAAGCTAAGGGTTTGGAATAAAAACTAAGTAAAAGCTTAACGAAAAAGGCAATGGATTCTGAGAGACCAATTCACCTCATTTTCTTTGTTCTCATGAAGTGCTTCTTGCCCTGCAGGAGTAGTGCTAACTGAGCCTGTAAAAACATTGGACCATAAAATAATGTCACATGAAACGTAACAAGAAAAGATGATTGCACATAGAACATAATCCGTGACAAAAGAAATACAGGTGAAATCATTTGACACAGTTGCCTTTCTCACCAGCAGATTTATCCCCCTGCTTCTTAGTCCTGTCTTTTACTTTGTTAGATTCTTGCTTGCTTGGCTTTTGGGGTTTCTTTGCAGTTGGCCCACGAGCCCCATTGTCAGAAACAGGTCCTGAATTTGAAGAAGTCTTCACCAAAGATCCTCTAGTCTTCGTTGCAGGAATGCTTTTCTGAGCAATCTCCTTCTTGGCTGAGGCCTTGACTGGAGAAACTGGAGCAGCATCAGTGTTCAACGACTTGGGTTTTAATTTCCTAGTTCCCATTGTAGAAGAACAGCTCTTGACATCATCATCAGAAGATCGAGTGCCCTCATCGGGTACCTGAGAACAGGTTTCGGAGATCTGCATCTGCTCCCTTTCTACGTTACTTTTGCTCTCCAATAATTCCTTCAGAGGATCTTCAAGGTCATCAAGGTTGTGACGGACCACATACGATTTTAGCTCATCGCGCATTCGATGAAGAGGCTGAGTTTGACATTATATGAAACAAAGAAAAAGGGAGACACAATATAATTTAAAGTTCAGTCCTTTGACACATTAAAAGAAATGATCTTAAGAGCAGACAAATGATCAAACAAAAATGGGGTGAAATCACTGAAATGGAAAATAGAAAGATGGGATACATGAATTGTACCTCACATCCAGCCTCCAAGGCTAGTTTGAAAAGTCCAAGTGAAATTGAGTGCTTGCCAGCAGCCTCAGACAGCTTAATCTGTGTCAGCCAGTATGATGCTGAGGAGAGGACACTAAACTTCTTCCGGCTTGTAGACTTCGAAACGTCAGAAGCAGGTGTCTCACTTTTCACAGACCTCCTTGATCTAGCCTCAGAGATTGGGGTGATGTTGCCAAGCAGTTTTGGAGCTGGAGTGCCAGCCGGTTTGGGAGGATTGGAGAGCCTTCTGGGTGGCTTGGCAGGCTTGTCCTTGCCATAGAGATCAAGAACACCCACACTTTTACTTAGAGTTGATGCAGGTCTTCCCCTAAAAAAAGGTAGACATCCCATATAGAATTCAACCAATTGACTCTGTTTTCTAAGCAGTAACACTTTGCATATGCAGATAACAAACAAGCATGGGAGAAAACTATAGCTTACAAGTCAATTTTATTATTAACCCTAAAGACCGAAAATGTAACCCTACCCTCTATAAATTCTTTATGGAAATAATTCACAACAACAACAAAAAAGTTTTGATCTTTCCCCTAAATCAATTGATACTGCTAATATTTACATGCAATTACTCAAATTATGGGAATTGGTTCATGTAACATACCCAAATTTCACCAAAATTTGATCTTTCCCCCAACAATTAGAACAATTGAATGGCTCAGGATACCCTCATAACATGTAAACCAAATCATCCCCACAAACAGATTCTATTGCAAGTGAAATCATATCAACAATTAGCCCAATCACATATCAGCATCATCAAATCATACCTCTTAGACGCAGAATTGTTAGTCGACTCGGTGGCGACCGGAGGCTTCTCCTCCTTGGACTTAGACCCCGATCGGAGCGCATACCGAAGAAGCTTTCCTGAAACACACAAAACGAAACCCCAATTTCACACCAATTTTCACAAACACACCCACAAAAAACAAACAAAAAACAAAACTTTTGAAATTACCAGATTGAGCAGACTGGGGGTCCTCCATTTGATTGATCGATTGCTCTAGTTCTTGTTCTTCTTCCTCTTACTCCTTCCCTGGTGTAAAGAACAATGAATTAGAGGCTGGCTTTTATATTCATTTTCCTTTTTCAAAATTTTCTTGTTTTTTTGACTATAATCATTGGGCGGGAAACTGTAGGAATACCCCACAACACAACTCAAATTTCACCAAACGCGCCGTAATGATAAAATCTCCCCTACTCGCATTCTGATGTACGCAGGTCCAGGTCATTATCCACGTGTGAGACTTTGATTCGTTAGCCGTAGATTCAGTCAGCGAGACTTCCGTTTTGAGTACGTTCGCAGTTTTGATATGGTGGGATGGAGCGGACATGATTGTGAAGGAAGTGGACGCGTGGAGAACGTATGTGCTTGATGATCCATTCAACGGCTGGCGCTGCATGGGACCCACGGCTTCATATATTAGAAGATATAATTCGAATTTCAAATTTCAAATCGTGTGCCGTTAAAACTGCTTTTACGGTTGTGATGAGATGGTCGAGAAGGTGGTTTTTAAC